TTACAATTCTTTGAAAAATTCATAAGTCCAACATGAAAATAAATAATGAAAATTGTAAAAACACAAAACCAAAAAATTACGCATTCGCCGCATACAAAATTCTGTTTCAAGCCAAATAGTGTGCAGCAGCTACCCCCGCCCCCCACAGTCAGCAGTAAGCACGTAAAGCGGTCAAAACCCCCCCCAAAAAAAAAGAAAAGAAAAAATCAGGGCTGAATTAGGACAAGGGCGAGCAGGATGTGCGGGAAGGCAAAAGGCAAAAGCCAAAAACCGTCAAGTTTAGAGCGGAAAAAACAAGTGAAAAGAATTAAAAGCGACAGCCGCGACGACTGTGGCCCAGCGGCTGTGGTCGCGACATTCGGCCGTCTCCCTGCCATGGCCTGTTTTTTGTTTTTTTCTGCACCCGCAACTCGATTAGCATTCAGAGATTTGTTCGGCACTCCATCTGCAGCCGAGCTGCCGGACGGCCGTCTCCCTGATCCACTCCACTCCACACCACTCCACTCCACACCACATACCTGTCTGCTGTGGGCCCCTCGCGTTGAGTTAGGCCGCACTAAGAGTTATTAAATTTTGGACACATTTGCATCCAGCTCCAATAGTCCCACAGGACCAGCTCCAAATGGACTAAACGCTGAAAAGCTTAGCGCAAATTGAAATAAATTAAATTGCATTTTCTTTTCTATATACTCTAACAGAGGCTATTCGAATTTAGTAAACGAAATATGTGAGCATAAAATCTATTCCTTTGTGTTAGCAAAAACTCAATTCTTTTTTATCGGTTAGCATTTTTGCATATCATAATTTAATTTCCTTAACTTGTATATATATTGGCGTGATTCGTTCATTAAATTTTATTTAATTATTTATATACTTTTTCTAACCATTAATTTTGCATTGAAATTCTCTTGCGCGTCATTGAATTCATTTGGTTATGCGCTACAAAAAAAAAAAAAAAAGAAAATAAGCCTCAATTATGACTAATAAAAAAACGTTGTTAATTTTATTAATGGATTATGCCATTCATATAATTTATCTATATCATGCAACATTATATGCTTACACACACATATATATTTTGTTGTATTTTCTAAAAACTGTTTGGCTCGCTTATCAATTAAAATTGTTTAAATTGCATTAACTGTTTGCTCGGGGACACGACAAATGGGAGCTGCTGCTGCTGTATGACCTAAGCGTTATATTTCATTCAATTAAAATGAGTAGGGGCCTAGACAGCAGCAACAACAACAGGGGACAGCAGCTGCTGTTATTTTCGTTTTTACATATATACAAAATATTTAGGTTTATTAATAATAATGCAATTACGCATAAAAATGTTTTAATTTATTTCAATTAAGCGTTAATTAAAAGCTGTGTCGTCTGTTTGTGTGTTGGGTGCGAATCATTTGCCATTGCATATTTAAAGTACGTATATCTATGAATACACACGCGCACACGCACACACACACGCACACACACACACACACATACATACAATATATACATCTAGAATTGTGAGAGGAGAGAGAGAGAGCTGAAAGGCCACAGCGATCAGAAACTTTCCCATTGCTCAGCCTGTCAAGTGAATGGGGTTAAATTACTTTCTCAAGCTAGGCATACTTATATGGGACTATACTATCTGAGTCATAGGCGGAAGCTTTAGGAGCTACTTTAAGTATGAAGAATTTTTGGAAGTAGACCGATTCGATTAGTCATAGAAGAGATGTTGAACAGCCGTAAGTAACAGATGCCCCTGGAATTTGGATTATGCCCTGTAATCAAAGGATGCATTTTGATAAACTTAATCTCTATTTGAAATACACTTCTGTTGGATATAATGAAATAATCCAATGTATGTCTTCAGATTGAACCCTATTTAAGGGTTTGTTAATATAAAATACATAAATATAGTTATATTATATATTTATGTACATATATTTGAATTTTTTAGACCTTAAATAAATATTGCACACTTTCTAGTATGCTCTATTTCTGTGCTCAGCCATATCAATATTTGAATTAAGAGGGTATCTTTTAGTCTAATATACTAATATATATGCTCAACTCTATATTCAACTGTTTTGAATTAAGAGGGTGTCTTCTAGTCTAATATACTCTGCAATATGCTCAATGTATGGACTCTATATTGAACTGTTTTCCATTTACTTGCAGTAGCTGCGGCTTTCGTCCGGTGCTCAGCGAGCAGAGCGCTGTGGCCGCAGCAGCAGCCGCCGCGGCAGCGGCTCAGCGGAACGCGAATCATCCACCGTTATTCCTGCCGCCGCATCTGGCGGCTCAGTTTTCGCATCAGCCGCTCTTTCCGGGACTCAAAGGTGGGTGGACTAATGGCATAATCTCTATCGATGGGCTGTCAATCAAAGCGTCGAAGCGCCAAAGAAAAATCAAAATCAAAAGCAACTGCTAATCAAATTAGCAGCTGCTGCCGGCGCCAAGCTGATGATGCATGGACATCAAAAACAATTTTCAAATTGATAATTTCAATTTATGCAATAATCCTCGTTCTCCCTCAGGTGTTTCGCCGTTCCAGAGTCTCTGCTCGTGCTGCTCGCTGAAGCCGCCGCCGATGCCGCCGTCATCGACGGCTTCGTCTTCGGTGATGGCGCCCCTCAGCGTCCCTGTGAGCAGCAGCTCGGCGGCCAGCTCGCCAGAGTCGCCCAAGTCCAGTGGGGGCAGCTCACACGATCCACGCTCCAATTCGGTGGCAGAGCTGCGACGCAAGGCGCAGGAGCACTCAGCTGCACTGCTGCAATCGCTGCATGCGGCAGCTGCTGCGGGCTTGGCCTTTCCGGGTCTCCACTTGCCGCCGCTCTCGTTCGCCCATCATCCGGCGCTGGGGCATGCCGTTAACCACAACAATAACAACAACAACAACAACAGCAATGCGCTGCGCATGAAACACGAGGCACAGGACATGACGGCCAGCACCATGAATGGCTTGGGTCCGGCCGGTGGTGGTGCAGGCTCCACTAGCTCCACATCGGCTGCGCTGCTTGATCTGGCCGAGTCGGCAGCGGCCTATCATCATCATCATCAACAGCAGCAACTGCAGCAGCAGCAGCAGCAGCAACAACAACAACAACAGCAGCAGCAACATCATGCCACTCTGTCGCCCCCAACCACGCCCACGCAGCTACAGTCCCAGCAGCTGCCAGCCACAGCCACGGGAGTGCGTCCCGAGTCGCCGTCAGCCCCAGCAGCCGCCATCAATGGCAACGCGCTGCCAAGCAAAACCGAATAAGCAGCATTATAATAAAAAAAATTATTAATTTTTAGATTATAAAAACTATATAAATATATATATAAATATATTCCATGTGGCGGACTTAGCATTTAAGCATTAGTTTTACGCATCTAGAGGACAACACACACACACACACACATACACACAATAAAAACTCACTTTGGAAATACTTGTAGAATACTTAGCTAGACTTTTAGAGATTTACAGGTGGCAAAACAGCTGAAAGCCTAAGCACAGAGAGTTTAAGCAAAGCAGAGACAAGGAGTAAGATAGATAAAGAGATAGATAGAGAGAGAGAGAGAGAGAGAGAGAGAGAGAGAGAGAGAGAGAGAGAGAGAGAGATCAGAAGAGAGTGTGAGCTCTATCAGTTATAGAAAAACTTGCACACACTGAAAAATTTTGTTAAAAAAATATAAATAATCATTTAATTAAAATAATGTTTAAATTAAAATAGAAAAAAAAACTTTTTCAAAGGCCTTACAATCATTTTTCAAAAAAAATATTTCAAACTAAACAAAAAATCATCAAGTAAATTCTAAATATTTCTCTGATACATCTCTCGCGGCTAGAGCTGACATTGACCTGTAGCCCCAAAATCGAGATTTCAGCTGGCAGAGCCACTTCAATTGATTATAAATATCAACAATAATAACAAACATATGCATCATATTATATAGTATATATATATAAAAAAAACATATGCTCTTGTATAGAATGAACAGATAGCTAAGAAATCAGACATCTGCCTAGACTAGACTTATCTCACTGCAAAAAAAAAAAAAAAAAAAAAAAAAAAAAAAAAATCAAGCCAACAGCAACAAGAAACGCATAGAGCCACAAGTATTTACAACCACACAGTTAATTAACGTTAAATCAAGTTAAATAAAACAATAAATGATCATATTAAACAATTTAAACAAAAAAAATATTTATTTACTAAAAACATTAAAAAAGTATTTCACTCAAACTTTGCAGGTCTGCTCGCAAATGCTCTGCGACTCGAAGAGATTGTTGTTGCCTTGGCAGCCGCTATAGTTGAAGGAGATGCACTCATTGGTCTCCTGGCGATACGACCACATTGGCTGCAGGGCGCGACAGGTGCCGATCTCAGCAAACTCCTCACCGCAGACAGCTGAACAAAGAGACAAATGTTGAGTTAGAGCGAGGTTTGAGTTGAGTAGAATGAGCCGTGATATGTGATTGGTTTCTGACTAACAACTCATCAGCAAATGTCATTTTAAATGAAAATAAAATAGTGTTAAATATTCGTGTGTAGAATGAGCAGGTGGCTAATCAAACATCTGTGATAAGGAGATCATCTATATATAATTCCATCTGTGATAAATAATGATTTCTACATCTAATTTGCCTAGGCTTCTGTTGTATGTTCATGGCATTCAGAGCAAGCTGACTTCAGCGAGGTGTGTTCGAGAACTTACGATTCTTCAGGGTGGCCAATGCAGAGCCCAAGAGGGCGCACAGCAGCAGCAGCACAGCGAAATATTTCATCTTGAATTGAGCTTGGGTATTCAACTGGTATTTGGTCACTGTTTCGATTGCAACTGAGCTTGGAGCCGGCTTGTGGGGCTCGTTATATAGGCAGAAACCGGCTGGAGCCATCTGTGTGGGTCAAGCGAACAAACAAAACCTTTAACTTAATGTGATTTTTTGTTGTTGTTTATTTTTCACAAGTTACGCTTCGCTTATTTAATAACTATTTATTTAGTTTTATTTTTTATTTTGTTGGTTTATCTGTTGGTTTTCACCGAATTTCTGGCAGCACTTGTAACCGGTTTGAGATGTCTCAATGGGATGAGTCAACTTAGTCCTTGCAGGCCTTTTCGCATTCACTTTTGCTGCCGAATTGGTTTTCATTGCCGCCGCAGCCACCAAAGACGAACTCAATGCATTCATTCTTGGACGAATCGTAGGTCCAGCTGGGCATATAGGCCATGCAGGCAGCGCCATCCTGTTCCATGCCGGACTTCGAATGCTGCTCTCTGCACATATCTGAGAGGAAATGGATGCTTCAGTTCGAGTATGTCCAAGAATCACTAACAGATCCACCCACCTGGCTTGGCGCTCACCATGCCAACGCACAGCAGCCACCCTAGCACCGTAAGCCACAGATATTCGTACTTCATTTTGCAATTGAAACTGCAATTGCTGCAGTCCACAACTGGGCTATATAAAGCCCCGTACATATAGACAGACATCTAAGGCATTTGCAGAAGTACAGCACCAGCAGATGGCGTGGGGCTTATCTGTGCTGTACTCAGAGCCGGAGGCAATGGGTCAACATGGAAAGCCCCCATCGATAACAGCACGGAACTCTAGCTCTAATCTAACCAGGGTCTACATATGAAACTGAGATAACCAACAAATCATATAGTTAGAACTTACTCATTGCACTTTTCATGACAATTTGTATATATCATTTTTTATTTCATCATATTTTGGATATATCTCTATAAAAGAATAGACTCATTACGAAAAAAACGTTTCTACTCATTATAACATCTTATACCTGCTCGATCTAAAGAAAGAAATATGAAATCATATATCTCTAACGTTTATTTGTATTAATAAAAAAAATATATTTTTTTATATCGATAAAAATTTTCTTTTTTAAATTTATTTGTTTTAAATATATATTTTTAAAGGCATAAAATGTAAAAATTTTGTTTGAGCAAATCAATGGAAGTATTTCAAACATCTTTCAACGGAACAGACACTGACTTGTAGCCTCGTAGTTCTCTATACTTGATTCTACTTCTTTGTTATATTTATACACTAATACATACAATATATATTTTTATTGTAAATAAAATATATAGAGAGAGAGAGCGATCAGATGAACATCAGACATCTGCCCAGAGTGGACCTATCTCAAGTCTACAGCAACTAGTATAATTAAATAAAACACTAGCTAATCTAATATGAATAAAATTACAAATATAACATTTATTTACGCAACTTGTACAATTATTTCACTCAAACTTTGCAGGTCTTCTCGCAGAGGATCTTCGACTCGAATAGATTGTTGTTGCCTTGGCAGCCGCTATAATTGAAGTTGATGCACTCATTGGTGTCCCGGCGGTAAGTCCACATCGGCTGCAGGGCACGACAGGTGCCGATCTTACCAAACTCCTCACCACAGACAGCTGAAGAGGAAGGAGAAGAGTTACGTTGATCAATAAATGAAATGAGATGAATGATTGAAAATAAAACAATATTATTTATATAGAATCCGACACGATTGCCAGTAATACAATTTCTTCCGGTATTGGTTTCCCACATGAAGACTTACGATTCTTGAGGCCAGCCAACACAGAGCCCAAGAGGGCGCACAGCAGCAGAAACACAGCGAAATATTTCATTTTGAATTTGGTTTAGTTTTGAACTGATATTTGTTCACTGAATCGATTGTAACTGAGCTTGGAGCTGGCGTGTGGTACTCGTTATATAGGCTGAAACCAGCTGGGATCTTATCTGTGGGTCAAGCGTCGCTCTCTGTGCAAAAACAACAAACCTTCAAATTATAGCGGAATTTGTATTTATTTTGCACAACAAGCAGTGTTACGATTATTTAAAACAATAATTATTTGTGCTCGGTTTATTGGGTTTTGCCAGCACTTCAAACTGGTTGTATGAAGCCCTTGCCGGCTTCTCCAGATCTGTTATGAATATATGTATTTATATACTTAACGTAGCCATGAGAGATGCAACATAGCGCCAACAGGTCAATTATCGCGTCCATTGAGGTTTTAGAAAATTCAATCAAACAATAACTGCTGTAGCTCTATGCTAGATCTAGGTCCAGTACTGCATTTCTCCTGTAGTTGTGTAGAACTTATATACATTTTTTTTTTTTTAAATTGATTGGAATACTATTCAAATAGCAAACACAATTCAATATTACAGCTCAAATAACCTTGGCAATTTGTATTGCTCATCAATTCATATCAGTTGAATGCAAAGGAATAGTTTTTATTATTATTATTATTTTTTTTTTTTTTAATCAATTCAAGTTAAGAAATTGTATTGTTTGTTAAATTTTTGTCATTTATTCCAAGCACTTTTCCTCACAAAGTTCTTTGGCGTCAAAGCGATTATCATTACCGCCACAGCCGCCATAGAAGAATAGCACACATTCATTAGCTGCTATATTGTAGCTCCATTTTGGAATGGTGGCCAGACAGAATTTACCATCAACACCGTCTGCAAAAGGTGGCAGACCACAAACCGCTAAATGCAAATTACAAAAAAAAGTTTAATTAATTTATGACTATTAAAGTCCCTAAATAGAGTTTTACCATCTTTGAGCGCAAAACAGCTGCTAATGGAGGCAATGAGCACTACGAACGACACCAGAAACTTCATGTTGTATCTTTGAACAGAGTACAGCTGGATAAAAATCTAAACTAAACTTCAAGCCAGTCGGAGTAGCTTTTTAAATACATTTTAGAAGCATTGCTTATCGC